TACCCAACATTCTTTTGTTGTGCAGCTGACTGAATGATAAGGAAGTTTATTTTAGCAGCTTTTCAAATGAATGCAGAAAAAAAGCTACTTCTTGTGGTGCATGTGCTTCTGAGTGAAATGTTTCTGCTGCTTCAGATCAATGAAGGAAAGATGAAATGCCCCTGCTGATACGCTTTCTGGAGAGCTAGTTAGGTAAAGGAGGATCTCTCAGATTTCTTACAGAAATGCCCTCTTCTACAAAAGCCCTGGAGATTTTGCTTTTTCTTTTTGATAACAGATAGTTTGAAGCCTGTGATTTAAAAACAAACAAACAAACAAACTTTTGGATTAACCTAGTAGGAACAAATTTATTATTCTCCCAAAATGTGAGCAAAATTCACCTAGTTTTATCAAACCCTGTAAAAACAAACTGTCAAGACCTCTTACATCTACTTCAACGTTGTTTTATTTTTCCTGTGTAACACTATGAACGATGAGAAAAAGTTTAAATTAAAAAAAAAAGTGAGACCTCTTAGGTCATTGATGTTGTCTTTGACCTAACCACAGCTTGTTAAAACAGCAAGAAACTGTCTCTGTTTCACACAGATGTTCTTTGTGTGGCTTTTGGTTCTGTGAATTTGATTGCAAGGTTTTGGTACAACTGTAACTAAAAAAAATTCTGAATAAAATGGTTTACATTATTGTCTGAAAATTTGAGGGTAATTCACCCTACATTGTGAGGGTGAATGGGTAATAACACAACAGACAAAATCCATTTCAGTGTTTGCAATACATTCTTAAACTAAGTTGCATCCTTCACTTCAACTCATGTCTTCATGTCTTTTGTTGGGAAAATGCAGAATGACTAGGGATTTGTTGGATTCATTCACGTTGAGTACAGTACATCCACATTTCTCCTTACCACACAACGGCCCCAATGTGGCTGTACGACAGGAGCTGACTTCTGCCTGCAGTGTGCCAGCCGGGTGGCTGTGCAGCACAGCTGTGCTGCCGGCCAAGCTACAGGAGCAACAGAAACATGGGTGAAAAAGCTTGCTGCAAGTTCTTTGGCTGCTACTTTTTCTGTTTCTTCTTCCCTAACAAATTTGCAGTGTAAGTGAAGTTGGATTCTTTTTCATTTTGCAGGAAGCCAGTGCAGATCTGATTACAACACTAATGTTAACTGGAGAAGTGCTTGGGTGTCTCAGAGCTTTTCTTCTACCTCCTGTGTCTTGTGAGCTAGTTTAACAGATAATAATACCTCTTACATATGTGCCATTATTACTGGTGGCTCAGTTCTTTGTTTTGGTCTTCTCAAGTGTCCTTTCAGAGAACCTTTAAAGATGGTCCATGTTCCTACCAACATATTATTTTACATAATCTTAACCTAATGACAACCTAACAGAGTAGATCTTCCCTTTTTTCCCCTAGGTGCTAGGCTCAAATAGATTTATTTAGTTAGTTACTTTTCATTGCGCCCAAAGAAAAATATTCCTTTAAATCTCTTTAAGTAATGGACTGTTATGTGTAATGATACCCATTGTTCAATGGCACACATCTTCTACACTGTAAGTTTGGCGAATTCACGTTACCTTTGTATACTGATGTGAAAGTGGAGGCATTTTAGGTGTTTGTTAGGTGAATACAGCTAAGCAACCTCTTTGCTCTGTGACCTGATACATGCAATTTCTTTTGTAAATTATAGTAAAATACTGAAACGGAGTATAATTTTCTTTTACTCTTATGCATAATGCCTTTTTTCACTTTTTTGTTTTTAACAATGGCAGCTCCAATGGAAGGTAACGTGACTGAGAGTAGAGATTATTCCAGGTATAGAACTTGACTTTTTACTGCTAAGTTAAGTTTCGTACTCTTTAGTTCATTAATCTCTTAAAATGCAGTACTTGATGTTACTTTGTGATCATAACCTTGGAAAAGTGATAGCAAAGGGCGTAAACTGGACTACGTTTATAAAGCGATGATAAGGTATCCCAAGCAGACCTGAAAGCCATGGGACTTGTGAGGAAAATGTTAAGTTCTGCAAATGGGAACAGAGATACTTCATTTGCATTTCACGTTTGAGCCCATTCGAATTGATATGTTGTAGGTTTTAAGTAGCATATTTTATGAGCGATTCGATGTCTTTTTGAGGTCAGAACTGAACGTTTTTTAGCTTGTTTACTTGTTTGGTTTAGGATCAACTGTATTTATTAAGTTGTCTCTGTGTGTTGGTTGTTCCCCCATACCCTTCTTTTTTAGCACATGTGAGCAGGAGAATTTTGCGGTGTGTGAGAAGTAAATTCCGCAACAGAGAATAATATCTGTTTACTCCCAAGATTCTCTTAATCAAGCTTCTTGTCACCTGACACTACGGGGACAGCCAGGTTCTTTTAGGGATCCTTGGCAGAATGATGGTGGCACTAAAATGTAGATACAATTAAAGCTTTATTTTCTTAACAAGATATTATGATTAGTGTAGCACAGAACTTATGATTAGAATGGCACAGGATTTCTATGAGGAGAATCGGTATAGTTCAATTTATATGTAGTGTAATACAGAGTTTATGATATGACAACTTATGATTTCTAATCACCTGGATCGTAACGTAGGGTTTCTGATCACCTAGGTAATACAGAATTTATAATACAACTTAACTTACCCTTTCTAATCACCTGGACCCTCTGCAGATCATGTCAAATTTTAGTATATAATTTGCTGTTTCAATATAGCAGTCATAATCTAGACTTGAAAATCCTATGAAAACATACAAGTCAGTCACTCAGTCCCCACAGGAAGCACATGACAGTGGAGGCATCCCTGGCCATGGGGGTCACAAGTCTTACTGCCCAGCAGCAGCTCTGGTCCAAGTTCCCCACTCACAACTTCTAACTGCTTGATTTTATGGACAGTGCTCTGTGTGCTGTTACGCTGCTTTGTTCTGTGACGAGGTCATCACCACCACTGAGTTGACTGGTTGCCTGAGACCTTTAAAGCCAGAGGAAGGGAGTAATCGGCCTGGTGCCCAGGAATCTTGAGGCCTTTAGGGAGGGGAAGAAGAAATCTGTTTGGATTGTCTTCTGGATTCACAGGACCTTCTCAGGGCATGATAATAAAGGGAAAGGGAGTGAATATGTGACCCACTCAGTCATAGAGAATGGCTATTTGCCTTATAAAATGGTGTCAGTTATGCTAACCACATTACCAGGGGTTGGGAGCAGCAAGCACTGGTCACACCAGTCTTACCCTGACACGTCCACAAGGCAAATTGCAGTTCTGATGACTAGAAATTCTGAAATAGCAGTGATTGTGGGTTTTTTTATATAAACATTTTTCACTTATAAATAACAATTCTTAAGAAGATATTTGAGATGTGGAGCAGAGCAAAAGGCATTTAATCTTGGGTAGTGTTTATAATACAGGGTTTGCCTAGACAGTCTAATTTGAGTTGCTATAGTTCCATTTCAACTTCTTTATTTAGGCAACTCATCTATTTTAAATGACAAGTCAGGGAGAAGATAAGACCTGCTGAAAGTGGACTGTTTTTGTTTAGGTTTTTCTTACCTGCAGTGGTGCTGACATTTCCTTGGTGTGGATTACTAATGAATGGGAAGATGCTCTCATACCAGATCTGGAAATGTACCAGTCTCCCTGTGAGCTCCATGACTAGCATGTGAGAGGACTCAAGGCCATGGAGTACTTAGTTAAAAGATAAATTTGATGATGACATACACAGATGGGCATTAAACTTTCTTAATGTTTGACATCACTCCACTTTCCTTTGCGACACACCTACACCTTTCTTTAAGTGTGAAGTACCAAGGTGTGTTTGGAGTATGTGCAACTTCCTAGTCAAAGACAAGCAAAAGGAGAAGCATTGTGGTTTCCGTTTGTTTCTGATGCACTTCTGAAAGTTGATCCTGAACTTCATTAGCACCTTATCTTTTCCAAAAGACTTGAATTCCTTTGTAGGAATTCCTTCTTAAAAAAAGAGCAGGAACATGTTTTGTGATGTACCTTATCTTATTTTTGTGATTCATAGGGCTAAAAGGTTTCCAGTGTGACGTGTAGTGCTGCCAGGTAGATTGCTAACTGTGTTTTCTGCTGTGTTGTTGTCACTTCAAAGACTAATCATGATAGCACAGGGGGATAAAACCATGTTCTTACACTAAATATACTATATTGGATTGGAAAACTGGTAAGGGAGCTGGGATATTGACTGTCTTACTACTCTAGCTTCAAAGGCAAGACTGCAATATGTGACATGACTGTATGGGGTAACAGGATGTACTTCTCTGGTGGTGAGGTATGGCTTTATTTCTACCGAGCTTCAACAGAACATGTGATTTTGATCCACCTATAAGTTATTGTTTCTCCCATGCGCTTGACAAACACAGCAGCTATATTTTTGGTTGTTCATTTATTTCGCTTGTTTCAATGGAGTTGCCCTAAATAAAGCTCTTCTGACAGAGAAAAATAAAAGAATCTCTTGGGCTGAGGTTTAACATCAGTACTTCTATGTCTCTGTGGGACAACTGGAATGAGAACAGAGGGAGGGGGTGGTTGTGAGGTGGAAGGAGGTAGTGGGCATAGTCTTCATTTTTCTTTCCTCAGTTTCCAAACTGTGTGCTTATTGCCAGGTTTATTTGAATGCCCCGAACATAGTTAATGGTCATCCTTGGACATTCCACTCTGATCTTAGTGTGTTGATGGCATTGTACCAAGCTGACAGGCACTGGGCTCTGTGTTGCCCTAGGTAGAAGTCTCCTTACGGAAACAGCGTCTGAAGATAAAAAGCCATCGTTCAGGCTGATACTTTATTTCAATGCTGAACACAGTCACTGTTAAGTAAACCTATGTGTAATCTAAATATATCTGGTTTCACTTTCTAGCCACAGATTTAATGCCTTTGTCAGTCAGAGCAGAGCGCTCTTAAAATTCTTTTAACTATGACTAGTGGTGATAGCTGATTATTCTTCAGATAAGACATTTCAGAAGAGTTCCTGCAATATGGCGTGTCTAGGCTCACTGGTGGAGGGAAGGAAGACTTTGACGTTTTCCAGATCATTGGTATAGGTTTTCCACTTTCTTGTATGGTATTGATTTGTCTTATCTCCTGAATACTTAGTTTGTGATTGATAGTTATTTGTTGTACTCTGATGCGAGAAGCCTCTGTGTTCAAGACGGTAGATTCCTGTTCTCATATGCTTTTGGCAGAAGAATTTATTTATTCTGTTCTGCAGATTTGACAGGGAGTTGTAAAATAGTACTGCATAGCAAACCTCAAAATATTTCCTGTAATTTATCTAGCTGAATATCTGATATAGCCAGTCCTTTTACTGTTTTAGTGAGGGTGGTGGGAAATAAAGAGAATAGTTGAAAAAGCCTAGTCGTTCCCTCCTGCCCTATTTTTCTTATGTGTGAGGTTTTATTGATGATTGTGAATCCCCCTGACTTTTTTTTTTTTCTGCATGGAGAATACAATGTCTAGTCAATGCTCAAGCTTGCTGTTTCTTAGCTTTAGTACAGATTGGCTCAACACTTGCTTAGAAATTCTCTTGGAGTTTTTCTAGAATGCATAGTAATTTTGATGTGGACATTTAGGCTACTTCTCCAAGACTTCTGTGGGGTCACAGAGGTATTTGTAGACTGTTATCATATTTGGAGAGTTTTTTCTGGATTATTTATGCAGTGTGCTTTTGAAAAGTAGCACAGGATAAGCTAGACCTCAGAGACATTGTGTAAGATACCCTCCCACAAAAAGGTAAATACAACAATTGAATAACCCAGTCATTCTATAGCCATAATGGTGATGTTTTTAAATGTCCAACTGCAGAACAAATTAGTTTTGTACAGCACTATGATGAATTAATGAGATTAATTGTTGAATGATGAAAATGCTGAAGCAGCAGTTCTATGTATGAACATAGATTTCGTAGAACTCTTAGTGTATTTTAAGTGAATTATGTCATAAGCCTAATGGCTAGGATAAACAAACTAGTATCCAAGTGAGTTATAAGGGGAGGGATTTGATCCCAGCATGAATTAAGAACAGAAAGTGGGCAGAAATTGTTAGTAAATTGTATTTACATGATTATCATGAAGTTCTTAAGAACACAAGCATTTATGTCTTGTGAAGATGAAGAGAGAAATGAGAAATCACATTTTCTGTGAAGTTAAGTTTCAGAAAGATTTAGAGTTTAGTATCATGGTCTAAATGAGCTTTAATGAGCTAGAAACTGAAAGAAATTAAAGGTTCTTTGTTCTCCATTTCTTAACCAAAAGTATTGCTTTGCCATCAACAGAATTGATTCTTTTGAGACTGAAGAGCCTAGTTCTGCACAATGCTGCCATAGAGTGTCTTGAAGTACAGATCAGTTCATAACAGATACGTAGTAATGCTGGAATATGCTCCACAATATTGCATGCAGTATACAACATACACAACATAGCTTTCAAGGCTTGTATATTAGCATGGATGATTTGTATGTTATGTAAAAAAAACCTACATGTTTTTGTGAGTGGAAACCTAAGCTAGATTGCGTTTGTGCAGGCACGGTTTGTGTGCACAAGTACATTCTGCTCTATGCAAAAGGAATCCTGCAGTGACATTGTGTATGAGCTGCATTTGAGAATTACTTAGGGGGGGTCTGTTCTTCAGAACTGGATTGTCTGAGAGATTAAATAAAAATACTTTCACAGCTGCTTCATCCATTTTCATAGATTTAATTCGATTTAGTAATGGCTTCTTTTACAGACAGTTACAATATAGTCTTGGATTTGAGGCTAACTTAAAATTTATGTGCACTAATCAGCTACGTTTAACAGGAGGTTTGTATATGTTGGGGGAACAGAAGAGGTGTGTAAAAATGCAGGTGGTATAGGTTAGTATGTAAGAGTTTGTATAGATTCTGAGGTAAGGTATTTAGTGTTTTCCAATTACGAACTGCTGTCTAACCCTTCAGATAACTAGTTAACAAGAAAATGTACCGTTACCAACAGATTACATCCTCCTCTTCAGAGATTAGGTAGAACCACGGTGGCATTGGGGAAGGTGTCTTTGGGTAGAGTGTCTGAAGGGATCTAATGAATGCAGAAATCTTTTAAAGAGGTTTGTGTTGGAATATGGTAGAGTAACAGTGAGCTACTAAAAATAACTTGGTAAATCACTATGGGGTAGTGAGGTTACTGACTTCTGTTTTTGAGGAGAAGAAGAAAATTGAAAGGAGTAGTTCTATCTTCAGTAGAGTTACCGCACAGTGATGAATGAGTGGAAGGTGTCAGAACTTTATACATAGCAGGGAATAAATGAAGTGTCATATGCTTGTATGAAGAAGGATGTGTGCAAGTGCAATATGCAAATGATATGGTCCGGCCGTCTCATCTCACTGTCTGTCTTCTTGGGACTTGACTAGTAGAGGGTAGATAAAACTAAGATGTTAATGTTAGTTGTTGATCACACTTGTTCAAAGGTCATCCTTCTTTCTACCAGCTGGAGACAGGTTCTGTGAGGATTAAATTCCTGTTTAAAAAAAAATAAAGTCAAGATACCTTCATGTAGGATTTAGAACAGCTTGAAGGAACTTATTCAGAGAAGCTTAAATCCTGGATGAGTATTTGTGTTTGTAGCATTTTCATAGAATCATGGAATGGTTTGGGTTGGAAGGGACCTTAGAGTTCATCTAGTGCCAATCCCCCTGCCATGGGCAGGGACACCTCCCACTACACCAGGTTCCCCAAAGCCCCATCCAGCCTGGCCTTGAACGCTGCCAGGGAGGGGGCAGCCACAGCTTCTCTGGGCAACCTGTTCCAGTGTCTCACCTCCCTCACAGTAAAGAACTTCTTCCTGATATCTAATCTAAATCTCCCCTCTTTCAGTTTGAAACCATTACTCCTCATCCTATCACTACCCTCCCTGATCAAGAGTCCCTCCCCACCTTTCCTGTAGCCCCCCTTTAGGTACTGGAAGGCCACTAGAAGGTCTCCCCGGAACCTTCTCTTCTCCAGACTGAACAACCCCAACTCTCTCAGCCTGTCCTCATGACGTGCTCCAGCCCCCTAATTATCTTTGTGGTCCTCCTCTGGACCTGCTCGAGCAGGTCCATGTCTTACTTATGCTTTCTGTGAAGCATGTGAAAAGTGGGATGCAGAAAACTGCTTTTAGGTTATATCCTTTCAGGAGAAAGTGAAATGTAGCCATATGTAATAGCTCTTGAGAAGATTTCTATTTCATGAACCCAAATAGTTAAAAGCAATTCTAATGGCTCTGCTGCCCTGAGGGCAGGATGGTACCGTTCATAGCGTGGGAACAGGTTGGCTGTAAGGGCATGCTTACACTAGAGAGGACTGCAGCACAAATGTGAGGACAAGATGAAACTCTCTGACTGGCTGCCTATTATGAAATGGGATAGTAGACATCTTGATGTGGACTAAAGTTGCATTATTTCACCGCTAACTTTTGAAATTGGCAAAAAGAACCTGGCTGTAGCAGAATGACTTTTCCAGTATTGGAAAAACTCCATCATTCTTACAAAGCTCTTTTTTTAGCGTGACCACTGGTAATCCTTTATTTTGTTCTCCTGCAGGAGACAGCTGGATGTAAAGGCTTCATGGTTTATCCAACCTGAGCTTCCATTATACTAGAGCAGTTTTCTAAATAGAGACTGGATGCTAAAACTAGTCTGTGCTTTAGTTGTGTTAGTTAGTATGTTTTCTGCTGTGAGGGTTTTTGAAGACTTGTAAGGCTCAGCATACCTGAAGAAGTCATGCCTTCTGATAAGGAATGGTCGACTATAGTCTATTTTATGTAATCATTTTCTGTGACCCTAATTTGTTATGCTAAAAGGTTGTCTGTGACAATTTTGTTTCACTGTATGATAGTGCATTACTCGTGTAGTCTGTTATCTCTTGACTGAAGTGCTTATCTGGGTTGTGCTGTTTGTAACAGCTACTCCTCTGGAACACTTTACATTTCTACTTGATTAGTAGACTACAGAAGGGCATCTCTTTATTGACACAAAAAGGAGCCTTCTGACTAGATGGAAAAGCTGCAGATTTTACTCATCTTTATCCCCTGTTGTTCACCTTGTGAGCCAGAGAAGGAGATGGAAACATCTTTTAAGAGGAAGGAGACATATAGCTATCAAATGTCTGACTCCTACTTCAGTACTTGAAACTGCTTTTTCAAATGGGTTTTATATGTGGGTCACACTGAGAATGCAGGCTGGACAGATTGCCTTTACTATCAAAATACTGTATTGCATAGAGTATACAAAAGCCAGGAGAAAGAAGAAAACAAGTAGATTGGCTTTATTCTAAACATAGAAAGCTTTTTGCATTGTCAGTGCATCATATTCTTGTGGTGAAGAGTATCCCATTGCAAGTCATCTCTGTCTGAGGAGAAAAGACAGGGAGGTACACTGAAAGGCTTTTCATATACATAAAATTTAAACTCTAGTTTGCATCCTAAAACCTCATATCTCATCCTCTTTCAGTAGGCAAAAGAGGAACAGATCTTCAACTTGTGCAAAAGGATAGCTCAGGATTAATTTTGCAGTCAAGTCTCTTTAAATAGTAGTAAGCACATAGTTTTGGGGTTGAGGTCTCACAGAACTTAAGCAAGAGATATAGTGGGGTGGGGTCAGGGATGTGACAGGACTTTTTTTTTCTCATCTGATTTTTCCAGAATGTTTTGAAGTGTTACTGCCATTTTACTTTAACTTGAGGGAGTATGAGCCAGCAGTGTGCCCAGGTGGCCAAGGCGGCCAACAGCATCCTGGCCTGTATCAGAAATAGCGTGGCCAGCAGGAGTAGGGAGGTGATCATGCCCCTGTACTTGGCACTGGTGAGGCTGCACCTTGAATACTGTGTGCAGTTTTGGGCCCCTCACTACAAGAAGGACATTGAGCTGCTGGAGTGTGTCCAGAGAAGGGCAAGGTAGCTGGTGAAGGGTCTGGAGAACAGGTCTTGTGAGGAGCGGCTGAGGGAACTGGGGTTGTTTAGTCTGGAGAAGAGGAGGCTGAGGGGAGACCTTATTGCTCCCTACAGCTACCTGGAAGGAGGTTGTTGTGAGGTGGGTGTTGGTGTCTTCTCCCAAGTAACAAGTGATAGGGTGAGAGGAAATGGCCTCAAGTTGTGCCAGGGGAGGTTTAGATTGGACCTTAGGAAAAATTTCTTCACTGAAAGGGTTGTCAAGCATTGGAACAGGCTGCTCAGGGACATGGTTGAGTCACCATCCCTGCAGGTATTTAAAAGACATGCAGATGTGGTGCTTAGGGACATGGTTTAGTGGTGGACTTGGCAGTGCTAGGTTAATGGTTGGACTGGGTGACCTTAAAGGCCTTTTCCAACCTAAACAATTCTATGATTCTGTCCTGTGAAGCAGTCAGCATTTCATTCTGGCCTTGGCTGAGTAATTTTTCAGAGTGCTTTTTCTGTTTGTCCTTTGTGTGACCTTTGTGTATGAATCTATTTTGAAAGTGAAGATCTGGTTGTTTCCTACAAGTAAATAAAACCACTGGCATAGATGAAAAAATACATCTTAGTCTTTGTTCTTGTATCGTTAATAGCTAAAAATTTGCTAAAAATTGTGCCTCAACCTACGATTGTGTAGCCAAAGTAACAAGAGGCTTTGTGTCTTGATGTCTGCTGAATGAGAACTTCATTAAAGTGATGTAGATGAGTCTTACTTGAACTGAATTGTGCTGACTTGGTGGTTTGTTCCTTGGGATGGCTTATTTAATTTTTAAAATCTCTCTTAATTCTTTTATTACTTATATTATTGGAATGTTTGAAGGCTTTGTTCTGTAAGCAGACAGAACAGGACATGTCAATATTTGCCTGTGACCGCATCCTGCAAAAACATGACTCGTTGGTCCTATTGAGACTTTTTTTCTTTAAGATGAGCTCAGAATTTTGTAATGAAATTTATACACTGAGTTAGAAAGCTTTGTCATTTGAGTCAAAACGTCGTGTGAACAAACAATACATGAAAATAGCTAAGCAAATAGCAATTAAAACACGGACAATAACTTTCAGTCATGAGGTATTGCCGGTGCTGTTTTCAGATGTGCAGAGGGAAAAGCTCTCAATTGTTCTTAAGTCGGCTGGTAAGTGAATCCACGTTTGTAGAGCTTGACAACAAAAGGCTTTTTGTTCACAATTTGTGTTCATCTAGGACATGCCGATTACTGAGCATAAATAGAACATAGTGTATGAGCAGGCCAATATAACATGCTGCCCAATTTGTGACTTACCAGAAATCTATAATTTATATTAAAATGTTTAGAATTACAGGTAAAAGCTACTTGTTGGGGGTTTTAGATTTCTGCATGAATGAGCACAATATGATTACTTTGAGGAAGCACACACTGCTGCATTTGATGTGGCAGCGAGATATGCAACCTGGGCAAAACTCTTTCTGAATGTTACTTGCCATCATTTCATCAATGTAGTGAGGCTATACTGACTGTGGCAAAGCCAGTGAGTGCTTGATAAAAGAAGCAACAAGACCTTTTACTCCTGCTGTTCACAAATAAAGTATACTAAAGAAAATTATTCTAATGCTTTCACCAAAATTTGTTCAATTCCACCAGGCTTTGTAATCGGTGTAGTTGTATGACCATATGTGATTTGCATGTCAAGTAAGCGTGACTGACTTTCTCTCCTGGGCCATTCAGCAACATGCATCTTCTTACTGTGCCTCCTGCGCTCTTTACAACAATCAGCATGCTTTTTGTAGGATGTTACCCTAATCACGACGAATGAGGAGGAACACAGATGAAACTGTAGAAGATTTGGCATGTGCAATTTTACTGGTATTTTTCTGTTCATTGCATAGTGGGAACAAAAACCTGGTTAAACAGGGCCTGACCTGAAAGAACTGAAAGAAGTAACATTTGATAAACCACGCACTCCCTACCCTCCCACATAATGTTTTAAATTGGGTTAACTTTGCAAGTCATGTTCTTGGTTGAAACGGATGTGTCCAAAGACGAAAGTGTAATGGTTCCCAAACTGTGAAATGCATTGAGGTGGTGGATGTGGATTGATAAATGAGCACATTGTTTTAAGTTGTCGGCTTGGGAATTTTTTGTGCAGTATGGAACAGAAACTTTGAGGTTTTTCTTCGCCATTTAAGAAGTATGCAAACTGTCTTGCTAGTGGAAAGGGAAAGCTCTGAAAAAGGATAAACAACAGATTTTTAAGTTCTTGTCAGAATGGGGTTCTTATGTTGGTCACTGGTTTAAACTCCTATTATATTAAGACTGTGTTCCTCTTCTGCCCTTTTTCAGGTAGCGGTGCTACAGCAGTTGTCCAGGCAGCGCTGTGCAAACCCAGGCAAGAACGCGTAGCAATAAAGAGGATCAACTTAGAAAAATGCCAAACCAGTATGGATGAATTACTTGTAAGTAAATCAGAGGGGAACATAATACATGGGGACTAGCTTCTGTTTTGATTTTGGTTTTTGCTTGGTCCAAAAGTGAGCGTAGAATTTTATGCAGGATAATGCAATGAGAAAAGGATTTGAAAATAATGTGAAAGAAGTATGCCCTTGCCCTAAAAATATGCTTTACCAATGTGTATTTTCTAATGCCACAAAACCAAGAAGTGCAAATTTGAATCTTGGAATAACCAACTATTTAAAACTGTGGGAAGAACCTTACCCCTTGCTTTCTGGAGGTTCCATTTTCAAGAGATTACCGTCTAGTTCTCTGTCTTTTCTTAATACTGAGGAAAGATACATTATCTTTTGATTAAACACTGATTAAAAATATAAAGGTAAAATTTAGTAGGTCTCCTTAAAATATCCAAAGCTCCAAAATATGGCAAAAACTAGTTGGATGTTTTGTAAGGATAACTTTTGAGGGGAAAAGTAGGAATGGCTAAGCTGCCATCTACACAAGGAAACTCTTGTTTGAGCTAATAACATGCGTTCATCTGATAGGCCATAACAAGCCATGTGAGGAATGCTGTTTGGGTCACTGATCAGCAGAGGAAGGGACCTGTAAGTGGCCTTTTGAAAAAGGGACTGTGAGAGTTTTTCCTCTGCATTGGTTATGGCAATCTAGACAAAGTTGCAAAGAACTGTTTAAAAAAAAAAAAAAAAAGAAACCTGTTGCTTTCTAATGTTCCTAGTCAGGTGCTTATGAGACTAATGCGTATTTATAGATAGGCAGCATAACAAGAGTTGAAGGACACAAAACCATTCTAAAAGTGAGAACACTCTCTTCTGTTCCACAGGTTATACTACTGCCTAGAGACTGTGGGCTTTTTCTAATGCAGAAATTCCTGCCTCTGAAGGAAATGGTCTCCTCAGCAGGGAATTGCCAGTGCAAAAGATATCTTGAATTTGATACAGAGGGTATGGTCCATCCAGTTTCTTCAGATAAAATGGCTTTTTTACAGTGGAGGACCCAAAATGCTTTTCCCCTGGTGATCGATGGCATTCGCCTTCAGTTTATGCAACAGCTTGTATGGGACATTGTGTTTTTTTTAAGAGAGGATTGTGGTAGTGGAAGCTACCTCTGAAGTAGTGAGGCTTCTGTCAACTAAAAACTCAAAAGATAAACTCTGAACTGTGTTAAGAAAGAGAACAGCCCAAGGTGAGATGCTGTGCATGATGCATTAACATCTACACTCCATAAAGAACATTTCTATAAAACCAGAAATACTAATAATTGTAATATAAAATGGTCAAAATTTAATCTTTTTTGATTAGAATTTGAACTAATAATGGGATTTAAGAATTAAAAAGTTGCAACAAATAAAAAGACAAAACTGCCAAAGATCTGCAAGAGGTCTAGAGAAACGACTGCAGTTCATTACCAGCTTGTACGAAGCTACCTTAGCAAGTGCTTGACTATCTTTACTGCTAACATGTCTCCACTGTCTGCCAGATGAGATAATAGGTCTTGAATTTTTGGTCCCATATTGCTTTCTTTTGGTACGAAGACAGCTGTCCATACCATCTTTTTTTTATTATTTTATTTTAAACATAAGTCAATTTCTGCTTTTCTGTGTTCAGATTTTGTGTTTCTTTTATTTGTTGATCTGTTTTGATCTGAATGTAAATTCTGGCTTTCAGAGTTCCTGGTTAGGAGAGTAAAAAAGCCAAAAAGGGCCATGTATGATTCCTTTTATTTTTGTATGTGCACACACATGTGCATGCGTACATGTACATAGGTGTTGGGTTTTTTTGTGTGAGGGGAAGTATACTTACTCTCAGTTCTGATAGAGATTTTTAAATTTTGTCTAAAAAATAGACATGTTATTCTGGAAAAGGGCATCATTGACCTTCAAAACCTCTTGTGACAACTGTACTAACATTTTTATTTCAGTTGGTAATACTTAGAATGCTCTTGCATTCTGTTTTTTTTAACACTTTCTTGAGTCTGCTCAGTTTTCAATCACTTATTTTTCTGATCAAACCATTTCCATTGGCACAGGGTTGTTCTAAAACTCTGTGTGCCCTCTGAACATGCTATTCTGCAAAATCCTGCTGCTGAGTGCTTAAAGTTGGTGCGCAAAGGCACTATTTGCAAATCCGCAGCTGCGTGGCCTTCAGAGAAGTGGAAAATGCAGCAAGCCTGGTGCCCACGTAAGCAGACTTAGGATTTGGTCCAGTGTCTATTAAAATAGAAAGGCAGTGTTGGAGGGAGTTTAAATAATACTAAGGTTACACAGGCTGCCAAACTCCTGAAATTCAATACTCTGTTTCCTGCAATGTCCTGTGTTCTCACTTTTGTAAGCTGAATGTAACTGAACCCCATAATCCAAGGAAAAAGTTCCTGTCCTTAGTAGTGTCCTCACTGGGTAGCTTCCCCCATCGCTTTACCTCCAGTTTTTTAAAATAAACAACAAACTCGATGCTAGAAGGAATATTCTATAGAATGGCTTATTTGAGTGAATAGATTTTCTAAACTGTTTGCTCTGGATAGTCCTTTGAGGCAGGCTCTCTGGAGGAACCCCTCGTGTGTTATGCCCAGCCCCTCAAACAGCTATACCTAGGGTTTCTGTGGCGAAGGCCCTGGGAAAGCACCCACATTGCTGCAGCACCTGCCTGGTCACTGGGAGCTGGGCCCGGCCCTGTGGGTGCTGCAGCTGAGCACCGAAAGGAGCTGTCTTGCAGTTGCTTATTAACTGTATCACCCACCTGCCCTTAGGCCAACACACATTTTTGCGCAGCTGCTTAGTGAAACTGCATCAGGAATAACCTGGCTGAAAAGAAGTTAGCTTTTACCTGGATGTATTTCCTGATGTGGTGCATAAACACTTGTGCTAGCACAAGGGAGGGAAAAGCAAAGGGATGAGGGAGAGACTAAATTTTAAGTGCTGTTATAACTTTGGTGCTGTTGAATGTCTAAAGTGATGTGAATGTGGAGAAGGCTCTGGGGCATTCTCCTGGATATCCTGCTGCAAGCTTTCCATCTGACAGTGTGTTTTAAGTGAATGCTTTTCTCTCTCACCTGTGCATATCATGGGCCTCAGACAAATAATTGAAGTTTGTGAAGGCTTACCATTCTGTGTGTGATAGAGGCTCCCCAGAACTGCAAGTCTGAAATTAATACTTTCCTGACTAAAACTTAATCCCTTATCTCTCATGGGGTGCTTTCTATTTTTTTATTTCGATAAAGACTCTTTTCAGGAAAAGTCACCAAAGCTGAGACACAAGGTGCCTTTGGCTGTGGTTATTGTGATAGCTCAGTTTTTGCCAATGAGTTGATGCAGGCAGACACAATATTCAAAGCACTTTTCAATTAAAGACAGTGAAATTTACCGTAGTCAGTTAGTTACATTTCTGCATTATTAATGTGTGAGTAAAATAGCTGAGGTGTATTTTTGCTCAGTAGTGGCAGGTAGACTTTTTGAGCTATCATTATGTTACCAGCATAGGAAAAAATAAAGCAAGAAATGAAATAGTAATAAAGAGCGGGAGAGTTACAGTTAAGATTTGGTACGGATAGCTGAATTAAGAACCTGAGGCAGTAATTTCACTTGTGTTTAAGCTGACATGTCTTCTGGAAAAGGGAAATGTGCCCTATATATACTGCTTCTGTTTTCCACCTACTGCCTCCTAGGGGGTAAAAAAAAAAAAAAGCTGTTTTGCAAATTGCTCAGTTATTCAGGCTCATTGCATGACTATCCAGGTATTCATCGTCCTGTGGTTCAGGGCTCAGAACTTTTCTAGGGAGGAGGACTTTTGACAACAGGACTAGCTGAAACATGTGTCAAACTGCAGCCTGACTTAATAGTCACCAAAAGGCATCAGGAGATTAAATCACAGTCTTCAATACATACAGTTAACTTTTTATTAGAAAGCGGCTGTGATCTCGAATGCGTTGCAAATAACAACAACAAAACCCCCCCTCTTTCAAACATTTGCTGAATTGAGGTTGAAAGTTGAAAATGGCATCTGTGGCAGCTTTAATCAATCTAAGTGGGACTGCCATAGTGCCCGCCTTGCACATGTAACGTGGGTCCACCTGAAAGCAGTTGCTTTTCAGGTAGGGAGTGGAGGTAGGGAGTGGAGGTGGAAGAGTTTGGGTTTTAGCTGGATTGGCTTGCTGACTGGCTCACCCTCCACGAGCATGTCCTCTGGCTCCAGGATGGATCAGGATTGTGTGGCTGGAGGTGGAGAGGGAGAAGTAGGGTTGTGGGAGCTTAAGTTTGTGTGAGGCCAAGCTCTCCAGTACAAAAAGGGCCTAAACGCTCCTATGTAAAGGATTGGCAGGATAATGAGAGCTGCCAGAAAGGTGTTTCAGAACAATTATGTAAAAGAGTGACTAGAAGAAGGACTCTGCTTGAAATAACAGATACAAGGCAGTCATTCTTAATGTGTACAGCTGTGGTGTGTCGTAGATGGTGTTGCTTGGTAGTGCCACGTTGTGCATATGTTGGTGACTGTGTGCTGCTCTAGTCAATTGTTTTATCTGACTTTTGGTCTTAACATTGCTTTTTCCTCTTGTACTTCTGTTTGATTGTGTGGCTCTGCTGTCCACCTGTCTATCCCACAGTAGCTGAGCCAATGGTGCTGTGGCCTTTGTCCAACAGTTTCCTTCCTGCTTTCTCACCTCCTCTTTTTCTACTCTTTTCATATCCCTTTTGAACAGGAAAGACAGTAGGTTTTGATCTTTCCTTGCATTTTGTTGTCCAGCCTGTACCCACACCTTCAGCTCTTGGATACTGCTCATTCTTCATTGCTCACCATGAATTTGGGACTTTAACAGTAATTTCTTTGCTGCTTTCAGAAGAAAATTGATGGAGTTATGCCTGTATCTCCTGGCCAAACCTCCCTTGTGTTCTTTGCAATAACGTTTTGTCTTGCATGCAGATCTATAGGTAAATTGAAATGTTTTGGTGCCTTGGTGCATGTTCTGTGCATACTTCTGTTCTGTTACGGTATTTCACTTCGGAAATTAAACTTTGTCTCTATACAAGCAGAACTGATAGCTGGCTGTGATATGTTGGGCTTTCTATTTCTTGCAGAAAGAAATTCAAGCAATGAGTCAATGCAATCACCCCAATGTGGTGACCTATTACACATCTTTCGTAGTGAAGGATGAACTTTGGCTGGTTATGAAGCTGTTAAGTGGGGGTAAGTTACTGGTTTTACTTGTTTAGCTGCAAGGAAATAGTATGATTTTTTTTTTTTCTAATGTACATTCTTTAAGTTAATTGCCCTAAACCAAGTAAGTAAGGAGGGAGGAGAGAGACTACACAGGATGAACCTTGAGACATAGGTGTATTACAGCAGG